CTGGTATTAAAAAATTTTTACTGGTAGTAAAAAATTTGAATTTCACCACTGGTTCAAAGAGTTTCCTGAATAAAGTGAAGATAAAATCATCTCATACAGACAGTTCAGGTCCTATTACGCAGGTTAGGATTCTACAAAGCAATGGCCTCTGACCTTTTGCTTTGCTATATTTTCTTCTTCCTCTCCCTCACTCCCACTGTGTGTGTGGATTTTTTTTTTCATTTGGTTCCTGCACTTCTGTGTCAATTCTCATCAAATATGTTCAGAGCTGACCATGCACGAGCAACAAACCTGGATAAAAATAGGATTTTTTGCTACAGAAGACAGAATTTGGAATCAGTTGGTTGGGCCAAAGTAGTGCATAATTCTTTCCTTACATGCCTTTCTTGTATTCCCAATCACTCCCCTCTTTTGCATTTGCATTCCACTTAGTCTCATGAAGGAAAAAATAAAATTTGTTGGATTATCTGGAATTGCCATTTGCAATGCTTTCGTTTTATATGATTGAGTTTCCAATATTAATGTGGTAGAGAAGGAACAGGTTCCAAATTGTAAACATAATGTCAACATAGAATGTGTTATGTGGATATAGCTTGTTTTGACTGGAAAACAAGTTACTAAAATGAAGTACTGTCTGAGATCAGATGTATCATGTCCTACATTTCTTTTTTCTCCAGTATAAATAGTGTTTTTTGTATTTGGATATTGAAATACCTGTCTGCCTGAAGCAATTGCAAGAGAAGTAATTGGGTTGATTACCTTCGGCTGTATAAACTAGATTCCTTTCAGACATTAAACAAAATATGTATTTGGTACTTGATTGGATTGAATGGGTGGCCAAAGGTCACAGTGCATAGCTCTTAAATGCCTTTGATTGGTTACTCTGTTTGCTAATAATTTGGATCTCTATGGTTAGGATGCCCAACAGGATAAAGAGTGGCAAGGATATTTTCATAATTTGACAGATTCATTGACTTCATTGCTGGTACTGTTGACAACTGCAAACAATCCAGATGGTAAGGATCCTTTTCCAAAAATATTTTCCTCTTCCTTCTTATATTGTAGCTAACCTCAGAGATTCTACATTCTTTAGGGACATTTTACTCCTCCCCCCCCCCCGGAAAAGTGTATATAAATGACTTTGCTTTCTCTCATATGCTGATCCAGTTTCCATAAAAACATTTAATAATTAATGTGCGGAATTCATTATCACAAGAACTAGTGATAGTAACTAAGCTTGAGGGTGTTCAAAGGATACCTTCACTGAGAACAGGTCTACCAAGAGCTGCTGTCTTACTTCTTGGGGGTAGAATTTATATATTTGTTTACGTAGATTTAAAGACTGCCTGATTCCCAAGGATCTCTCCGTATATTAGTTTTTCCCTTCTTTTTGGCATTTCTGAGATATTTTTTGGCAGATGAAGAGAAGACTTGGCATGATCAAATGGGCCTTTGTAATCTATTGCGTAGCTTCTAACTCAAACCAGGAATTGCAGACCCTCATTTGCGTTAGCTAGCGATGAGTTCCTGGATAATAGTTCCTGAAATGATTTTCACTGTTAAAAGCTACATAGGTTTCTGTTTAAGGATTGGTAGCACATTATTACCTTAAACCTGACATTTCTTAAACCTGATTTATTTGTTTTTTTAACTATTTGACAGTGATGATTCCTGCATATTCTAGGAATCGGGCATATTGCATCTTCTTTATACTCTTCACTGTAATAGGTAAGTTGATCGTTTCTTTGAACAGAAGACCCACAGAAGCCATGCAGTGTAAACTCATTCTTTTCCATGTGATGGTAATTGCAGAATGTGCATAAAAATGAGTAGCTAAATGGAGGTGTGACTGAAGATATAAGGGAAAGACTATAAAGGCAACCAAAGGACTATCTTTCTGGTTGCTAGTGAATTCTGCTCTTAAGCTTTGAGAGCTACAGTCTGCTTAAGCAGGGAAGGAAGCCTTCACTAGTTTTATTGGAAACTTATAAATAGCAATAGCACTTAGACTTATATACTGCTTCACAGTGCTTTACAGCCCTCTTTAAGTGGTTTACAGAGTCAGCATATTGCGCCCAACAGTCTGAGTCCCCATTTTACTGACCTCAAAAGGATGGAAGGCTGAGTCAACTTTGAACCTGGTGAGATTTGAACTGCCAAACTACTGGCAATCAGCAGTCAGCAAAAGTAGCCTGCAGTACTGCATTCTAACCACTATGTCACCACGGCTCTTAAATAAGAGAGGTGGAGGTGTGTATGTAGGTATATATGTATATATATCGTATGCACATATGTGTCTGTGAGGATAGGTAGATGTGAATCAACTCACTCTTCAAATGAGATGTTTGATAGGAAATTAACTGTATTTAGTACTCATTGATTGAATGATAATTAATTTAATATTTTGCCTA